TCCTTGGATGCAAGGATGGTTCCATATATGCAAATCAATAAGTATAATTCATTACATAAATAGAATTAAGGACAAAAATCATGTAGTCATCTTAACAGATGAAGAGGAAGCCTTTGACAAAATTTGGCACCCATTCATGATAAATATACTGAAGAAACTAGAGATAGAGGGAATTTCCTCAACATTATAAAGGATATATATGACAAACTCAAATCCAACATCACAATGAATGAGGGAAAACTGAAAGCATTTCCTTTAAAATCAGGAACAAGACAAGGATGTCCCACTCTCAGCTCTCCTATTCAATATAGTTCTTGAAACTTTAGACAGATCAATTTGGCAATAGAAGGAAATAAAAGGTATACAAATAGGAAAGGAAGAAGTCAAAATATCACGCTTCTTCTTTTTAAAAAAAATTTTAAATTTGTTCTAATAAGTTAAAAATATCACTCTTTGCAAATGATATGTTGCTACATTTAGAAAATCCAAAAAGCCCCACCAGAAGACTTTTTATTAGAGCTAATAAACAAAGTCATAGGATATAAAATCAACATACAAAAATCAATAGCTTTCCTATACACCAACAATAAATTTTGTAAAAAAAAAAAAAAGAACCAGGAAAATAATTCCATTCATAATTGCCTGAAAAAACAAAACAAACAAACAAACAAACAAAAAAAAACCAAAACACTAGAAATAAATTTAACCAAGGAGGTGAAAGACTTCTACAAATAAAATGATAACACATTAAAGATAAAAGAACTGTAGAAGACACAAGAAAGACCTCCCATGTTCATGGATAGGAAGAATTGCTAAAATGGCCATATTACCAAAGTGTTATACAGTTTCAACGAAATCTACATCAAAATACTAATGATGTTCTTCACAGAACTGGAAAAATAGTACTAAAATTCATTTAAAGAACAGGAGACCCAGTAGCCAAAGCAATTATAAGTCAAAAAAGTAAGGCTGGCAACATGATAATTGACCTTAAATTATTCTATAAAACTATAGTAACAAAAACTGCATAGTACTGGCATAAAAACAGACACACAGACCAGTAGAACAGAACATAAGACACAGAGATAAACCCACATAGATATAGTCATCTGATGTTTGACAAAGGTGACAAAACATACATGGAAGAAAAGACAACCTTTTAAACAAATGGTGCTGGGAAAACTATATATCCATATGTAGAAGAAGGAAGCTAAATCCCTATTTCTCACCTTGCACACAAGTCAACTCAAAATGGATCAAAGAGTTATGATTTAGTCCAGAAACTCTGCAGTACAGGTCAACATTTCAACATGTAGATGCAGGCTGTGACTTTCTCAATAAGACTCTAACAAATAATAATAGGAAATAATACCAAGGATTAATAAATTGGATGGCATCAAATTAAAAGCTTATACACAGCAAATCAAAGAATCAAAAGCATGAAGAGAGTGACTACAGAATGGGATAAAATATTTGATAGCTACTCTTCTGACAGGGGATTAATATTGCAAATATATGAAGAACTCAAATTTAATACCAACAAACAAATGAATAACCAATGAATAAATGGGTAAATTAACTACAAAGACACTTCTCAAAAGAAGTACAAATGGCCAACAAATATGTGAAAAAATGTTCAACATCTTTAGCGTTTAGAGAAATGCAAATAAAACTATCTCAGTCCAGTTAGAATTGCAGCAACTAAGAGTACAAATAACAATAAATGCTGGAGAGGATATAGGGAAAGATGAATACTTTACACTGTTGGCAGGATTGTAAACTAGTACAACCACTAAAGAATTCAGTATGGAGTTTTCTCAAAGACTAGGAATGGAACCATCACATGACCCAGATATACAACTCCTTGGTATTTATTCTACAGAATACACACATACCCATGTTTATGGTAACAACAACAACAACAAAAACTCACAATAGTCAAATTATGGAACCAGTCTAAGTGTACATCAATGTATGGATAAAGAAATGTGGTATGTATATACCGTGGGGTTTTATGCAGCCATAAAGAAGACTGAAATTATGTTATTCACAGGTAAATGTATGGAACTGAAGAACACCATATGAAGTGAAATGAGTCAAATTCAGAAAATAAAGGTTTGTATGTTTTCTCTCATATTTGGAATTTAGAGAGAAAAAAGAAAAAAATTTAGGGGGATCTCATGAAAGTAGAAGGGAGACCAGTAGAAAAGAGAAAGGGATCCAGGAGGAGGCAGGAGGAAAGGGAAAAGGGGAGATACTGGGGAATGAAACTGACGAAATTATAGTTATTTTGTGTGTACATAGAGTAACAAAAAATCTCATTATATGTAATTATAGTAGTATAAATATAGTAGTATATATACTATATTTATATACTACTCTTGTGTGGAATGTTGATAATGGGGAGCTTGTGCATGTGTAGGGAAAGAGGTGAATGAGAACTCTTTTATCTTTCTGCTCAGTTTTGCTATAAACCTAAAATTGCTCTAGAAAATGTCTATTTAAAAAGAAAAAAAATGATCTACAAAGAGTTAATCAAATATGTCAACAATTTTCTAACTGTAAACTATAACTGTAATTTTGGAGAAAACTGTAAATAATTTTATTTTTTAAAATATTGACATGCAGAAAAAATAAATTTTTAAGAAAATGACGAGATGTCACAGATGTAAGGCTTGTTTTGTTTTACTGTTCAAGTAATGTAAATCAAACATTTAAAAATTATGTGAATATACTGGATAATTATTAATTTTTAGAAACATTATTAGCAAAAATTGTTTTTCCTTATTTTTTTTTTTTTTGTACCAGAGATGGAATCCATGTGCTTAACCAATGAGCCATATCAGTCCTTTTCATTTTTTGAGACAGGGTCTCACTAAGTTGCTTAAGGCCTTTCTAAATTGTGGAGATTGGTTTTGAACTTGAGATCCTCTTGCTTCAGCCTCCCAAGTTGCTGGCATTACAGGTGTGTGCCACTGTGCCCCACAATTTTTCCTTAATTTAAAAAATTCCACAAATATAATGAAATTAACTTATTATTCAATAGGAAATGTATTTTTTTAAATGTATTAAAAACTGCTTTTTTTCTCTCAACTCTGCTAAGAGTGATCATCATTTTCCTAAAGGACTTTTTTTTTCTAATTTTTCTATAGTTATTGATGGTTGCTAGTAGCAACCAGGATGAACTGTTTCCTTGTTCATCTCTGGTAGGAGAGAGACTGACTTCTCAAGGCTCTCACCTACTCACCTAGGAGTACGAAAGAGCATTTCCAGCAGCTTCTAGGAAATGCTCTTCAGTGTTCATTGTCCAGGTATGGATTACATGACCATGAGCCCACCATTGGCAAAAGTGTTAGAAGTCCAACCTTGAGTCTTTCCCGGTGTGGAAGGGGATAAGGCTGGATACTTAACAAAGCCAGAATTCTATTGTGGGAGAAAAGATGGGTAAATTCTAGGAAACTAACACTATCTATTACATATACTATTTTGCATATATTGCTACCAAATTCCATAATTAAGAAAGCAGAATTTCATTAAATTATCAATTTATGAGTTAAATTTAAAAATTGTTGTATTTGGGGCTGCAGTTGTAGCTCAATGGTTGAGTACTTGCCTAGCATGTGTAAGGCACTGGGTTCAATCCTCTGCATCACATTAAATGAACAAATAAATAAAAGTGTTAAAAAAAACTACATTATAAAAAAACTGTTATTTTATAAACATGTTGTATGTTTTATCTTCATTTTCAGCAGCTTAAGACATTTTTTACTCCGAAACTTACTGCCAGATTTCAGCTCTCTGTGCGCCTAGAGATCATTCACCAAATTTCCCACAAAAATTCCTATGCATACACCTAAACCTAATATCTCAAATACCTCACCCTAAGGAACTCATGGCCATGAATTGTTCCCAAAGAGCAAATATTTTGAGATAAAACTCCATAAACTTGAGCAGTTCCCTTTGAAACATGTAGTCCTAGATTTTTCTTTCTTTTTTTTTTTTTCCACATATGAGAGAACATTTGGTACTTGTCTGTGTCTGGCTTATTTCCTTTAACATAATATCCCCCAATTTCATTCTTTTTGTGACAGGATTTCATTCTTTATGGAAGAATCCTCCATTTTGTGTGTGTGTGTATATATATATATATATATATATATATATATATATATATATATATATATATATATATGATACTTTCTTTATCCATTCATCTATTGATGGGCACCTAGGCTTGATTCCATGTCTTAGCTATTGTGAATAGTGCTGGGAAATACATTGCTATAGAGGTATCTCTTTGCTATGCTTTCGTTTCCTTTGGATATTTATCCAGAAGTGGGATAATTGTATTTATTGTTCTTTCGTATGGGGAAGCTAAAAAAAAGTCAACTGAAAGTAGAATAATGATTATTAGGGTCTGGTAAATGCGAAGAGGGAAGAGTATAGAAAAAGGAAGATTGGATTTGACCCATGCACGCACACTGTGGGCATGTATGAAAATATCACACCAAACCCCATTAATATGTGCAATTAATTTAAAAAATTAATTGTTAAAAATTAATTTAATAAATTAATGTGTTCAAATGAAAAAATAAAAAGCAAAAAATTTTAATTTAAAAATAAATTGTGGGGCTGGGGATGTGGCTCAAGCGGTAGCGTGCTCGCCTGGCATGCGTGCGGCCCGGGTTCGATCCTCAGCACCACATACAAACAAAGATGTTGTATCCGCCGAAAACTAAAAAAGTAAATAAATATTAAAATTCTCCCTCTCCCTCACTTTAAAAAAAATAAAATAAAAATAAAAATAAATAAATTGCGGACTTTGGAAAATTGTTTTAAAAATTAAAAGCTTAGTTTTTAACATTCTTGAAAACAGCTTTGTCTCAAATATGTATGCATGTAACTCTCAGGTATACTTTCATAACTCCTTTGTACATCTAATCTGCTTCACACAGCCACATCCACACCCTTTAAACAGATAACATACTGTACTCAATTACTATTTTAAAAGGGAGTAATTTATTTCTATGAATATGATTTTAATAATTTTCCCTAAGCATTTAATAAACAAGGCTTTTTCCAAATCTAATTTATACATATGTATGTACATATATTACATAATTTTAATATTTCTGTAGTTTAGTCTTTAACTTTGGAAGCAGTACCATAATACATTTTGATAGTGTTTAAAAGGGTTTTTAGGGAAATTAATTTTCTTGCAAATATAAATCAAGCTTGCTCCAGTTCTATAAGAACTCCACCACAGTCTTTAGGATGGAGAAAAATAACTGGTTTTCCATGTGCTCCTATTTTGACCTCTTCACTTAGAATACGGATCTTCTTTTTTTTCAAATCCATCATCACTGCATTTATATTATCCACCTTGAAAAAAGAAATAAGAACATAAATAAGATCATAAATATAGCAAGTTATAGTATCATAACGACTTAGAAACAACTTTGAGAACTTACACAGCATTATCTCCTCTACCTTTGGAAAAGACTATTCTTAAGCCACCACATGAAATGAAAGCAGGGCTAGGGTGTAGCTCAGTGGCACAGTGCTTGTCTAACATGTATGAGACTCTTGAGTTCAAGTCCCAGGATGGGAAAAAAATAATGAAAAATAAACAGAGAAGTAAATGAAGTTACTAAATCTTCTTAGGTGAGCAATTGTAATGCCGTAAAAAACTCATTGTGGGTAAATGTTACCCGTTATAACTTAAATAGTATGTCCTCTTTATCATAGTTTCTTCTGGAAGTAATATTGGTGATTTTGGACAAATTGTTTTTTCCTGAGAACCTTGTGTTCCTCAAACCAAGGAAATGAGGAGGCTGTAGTTTGGACCTTAAGTATCTTCCAAAGATCCACATGGTAAAAGTTTGAATCTTGGGGTAGTGCTATTGTGAGGTGGCAGAGCTTTTAGGAGATGGAAATTAGTGGGAAATCTTCAGGTAATTAGGAATGTACTCTTGAAGGGGACAGTGGGACCTCAGTCCCTTCCTCTTCCTCTTTAGCTCCTTAGCCATGAGGTGAGCAGTTTTTCCACTGCCGTGTATTTCCTGCCAGGACTTGCTGCTTTGCCACAGGCCCAAAAGCATTGGGGCTAACCAACCATGAACTGAAACCTCAAAAACTGTGAGTCAGAATAAACTTTTTTTCTTTATAAAATTATTATTTCAGGTATTCATTTGATATAGATGGAAAGCTAACAATAGTCCCACCATATAAATTGACTATAGATTAAAATGAGATAACAGAGTTTTTCCCCTCCCAAATTAATTGGTTATTAACTCTGAAATTTAAACTTGAAATACATAAAAATCATTATTAAACTGCTATCAAAATATAGGCTGGGGATGTGGCTCAAGCGGTAGCGCCCTCGCCTGGCATGCATGCGGCTGGGGTTCGATCCTCAGCACCACATACAAAGATGTTGTGTCTGCCGAAAACTAAAAAATAAATATTAAAAAATTCTCTCTCTCTCTCTCTCTAAAAAAAAACAAAAACAAAAAACTGCGATCAAAATGTTATTCTAAAAAATCTAGAATTTTTTTTATAATTTTGTAATTCTCTTCTAAATTATTTCTATTTGCTTCATATTTATTTGCAGTCTAGGAAATGATAAAGAAATGATCCTCCTCTATCTTGGAAAGTCAGCCTCTCAGACAGGGAACCTGGAATTGGGTTAAATGACCACATTCCCAGGCAATCTGAACTCACTCTAGAATTCAATGACTTAATAGCATTCCAAATATCAAAAGTGGGGGTGTATGGGGGGATAATAGAAGACTGATTTCCCACCACACAGACCTAACATGTTAATATTTATGTAATCTTATTTCCAAAAAACCAAAGGTTGTATATTGAATTCTAAAACTGACCAAACAACTAGTGAGAATACTAAATGTTACCATAAACTATGACTTCTTCATATGATATACATTCTACTTGTATTCCTATAATGTTTTAAAACTCCTAGTCATGCCTACATTATGACTATGTTCATTTCATGTTAATTTGTATGGTAGCTGCTCTACTCTAATTTTTTTTCTAAAAAGAACATGCATGAGCTGGTTGAATGGTCACACCCACTGGATCATTCTTCGGAAAATTAGTTCTCACCAAAGTCAGGCATTGTCAATTTTATTTTTTAAAATAGTTTTTTAGTTATAGGTAGACAAAATACCTTTGTTTTATTTTTTTAAATTTTTTTAGTTCTACATGGCCACAATATCTTTATTTTGCTTATTTATTTTTATGTGGTGCTGAGGATCGAACCCAGGGTCTCACACATGCGAGACGAGCACTCTACCACTGAGCCACAACACCAGTCCCACCTTTATTTTATTTATTTACATGAGGTGCTCAGGATTGAACCCAGTACCTCACACATGTTAGGTAAGTGCTCAATGGCTGAGACACAACCTCAGCCCTTTACCTTATTTTTAAAAATTTCTATAAATATTGTTGAGCTTTGTTCTGATTGTTATATGGAATTGGAACAGTCTCTAGTCTAGACTAATTTCTTACTCCTGAAAGCACTTTTGAATACTCTACCCATTGCCCCCATGTATTTCAAGGTTTTTCCACTATGACTGGCAAGAACAAACCACTCCACCTCTGGGTGATGTTTGTTCCCTCTGATCCTTTCAGAGGGCTCTGCGTTCAGCAACAGGTAGCTTCCTAACATGCATCCCTACCTGATTCTCAGATGGCGATGTGAAAGGCTATAGATCTCTGGAGCATCTATGCAGCTCTCTCCTTTTAGCACATTACATTATCAACTCCAAGAACCAAGAACCAAGAACCAAGGCTTCCTCAGACTCCCAACTTCTAGGTTCTCAGTTTGGCAAAACTGTGAAGCTCCACTGGATTCCCCTGTCCTGCAAGGAAGACTTGGAAACTCTTCAGCCATATCTGGTTGAGAAATTGCAAGCATCCTTTTATTTGCTTCCCCTCTCTCAGGGGATTAGCTTTCTTTGCTGCTTGACATTCAATGCCAGACAACCACTCTTTTGTATATTTTGTTTACATGTTTCAAGGAGGAGGATAAACTGCTCTCTGTTATTCCACCTTAGCTGAAATTAGAATTCTAAATTGTAGGGATTTTTGGTTATTACTTAACCAGTGTTATTACATGTTATTCTATAATTTTTGTGTCTTTTTTTTTTCTGATTGCTTAAATGATTTGACCTTTATCCTGGTTTTCAGCTTGATGATGGTATGCTTAAGTTTTTTATTTTATTGCATTTGTCCTACTTGGGGTTGCTGAGCTTAATGAATGCATGGGTTGATATCTTACATCAGATTGGTAATGTCCTTGTTGACTATTCAATTATTGCTTCTATTTTATTTTTCTCTTGCCTTCCTTTCCAGGACTCCACCCTGTGCTAGAACTTTTGACCACATTCTTCATCTCTCTTATGCTCTCTTTTCTTTTCCTTTCATAGTGTTTTACCCTGCCCCACCCCTCTCCATATTTTTGCCTCTTGATTTTTGGACTTCTAGCCTAGAGGATAGGCTAGAACCATGAGAGGATAAATTTTTGTTATGCTAAGCTGCCGAGTTTGTGGTGATTCTTTACAAGAGACGAACTCTAGATAGGGCAGAGGGGTTGGAGGGGAAGGGAGATGGTATGGGGTTATTAATGATGGTGGAATGTGATAATCATTATTATCCAAAGTACAGGTATGAAGACATGAATTGGTATGAATATACTGTGTATACAACCAGAGATATGAAAAATTGTGCTCTATATGTGTAATAAGAATTGTATGGGCTGGGGTTGTGGCTCAGCAGTAGAGTGCTCGTCTAGCACTTATGAGGCCCTGGGTTCAATCCTCAGCACCACATAAAAATAAAATAAAGGTGCTGTGTCCACCAAAAACTAAAAAATAAATATTAAAAAATTCTCTCTCTCTCTCAAAAAAAGAATTGTAATGCATTCTGCTGTCATATATAAATAAAAAAGGAAAAAAAAAAAAGAACTCCAGGAAACTCATACAATAACTATATATGTGTACTGAAACTGAATAATTAAGGACACTGATAAGACTCTACATTGTGTACAACCAGGGAATTGTAATGTTGTGCTCTATTTGTGTACAATGAATTGAAATGCATTCTGCTGCCATGTATAACTAAGTAAAACAAAGAAACAAAAAAATAACACTAATATCAGATGGTGAGTGCCAAGTTTTTCATATATACATACCCAAGTTGGGATTCGGAGCTATGTAAAGAAGCAAGGGAAAGGTCAGAGTGATTCAAGTGATAGAGTTGGAGACATCAGTGTAAATTCATGAGCTTATGTTATTTTGTGAGCCCAACATGGTTTACATATAGAAATATTTACACATAAGTTTAAACGTACAGTATATAAACGCATATTTCCTTTCTGTGTTAGTTCAAAGGGCCTAGACCAAAGATACACCAGCAGCAATGAGCACACCTAGAGATCCCATCTTGGTTTCTAACACGATTTTCCAGTAATAAGAACCAAAGCTTCTTGGAGAAACAACTGGTTCTAGAATTAGGGTAAGGAATATGAGTTTGGAGAACCTTGTAGTCCCAGAAAATAAGGAAATTCTCAAAAAAAAAAAAAAAAAAAAAAAGGCATAGGGTATGCCAAAGGGACACAAGTGCCAAACAAAAGAGTTTTTCAATGGTCAAAGTTAAAATGATTTGAGGGATAAAGTATAAAATAAATATCCACAAGCACATATTGATATAACTATCTACTCCTGAAGTGTGGACATCCCATAATGACCTCCTTCCAAAGAGCACAGTATGAAAGAGAAAGAAAAAAAAAAGGTAACTTTACAGTGAAGACACCTGACAATACCGCCTCAATTAGGAGATGAGGGTTCATATCAACAGCGACAAGTCATGTTGATAGGATTTGTCCTGATAGGATGTGATGATAATGGTACTTCATCTCTGTGGTCTTCCTTCCCAGAATAACCTCATTTAATCAGAAAAAAAATTCAAATATCAAGTGGGGGATAGTTTACAAAATATCTGGCCAGAAATCCTCAAGAGTATCTAGGTCATCAAAAACATGGAAAGTCTGAGAAACTATCATAGGCAAGAGGAACTCAAGGAGACATGATTATGTGATGTGTGATCCTGGAGGGGATTCTGGAACAGAAAAAGGATGCTGGAAAGAAGAATGAAATTGTGGCATTTGCTGGTAAATGGATGGAACTGGACAATATCATGCTAAGCAAAACAAGCCAATCTCAAAGAACCAAAGGTTGAATGTTTTCTTTGATATTTGGATGATAGTTCACAAGGGGGAGTGGCTAGGGAAGAATAGAGATAATTTGAATTAGACAGAGGGAGGAGAGGGATATGGGGGTTAGGAATGACAGTAGAAT